TTTCTGTCTACCCCTATTCCCTTGGTTTTAACCACCATTTATATGCTGATGATTCCCAAACTTACATTCCTAGTCACAACTTCTCCCCTAAGTCCAGACTCCTATAACGAATTTTTTTTTATAACAGAAATGGTATAAAGATGACCCTAAAGTGCGAACATCTCAGCTCTAACATGCTGAAAGAACTTATTGGACTCCCCTTATCTGACTCAAGTGAGAGCTTCACAGAGTCAGCTACCTGCCCTCCCCAGCAAGTCTCCCGTCAGGGAGGTGACCTATCTCAGGCACTGGGACATTCCAGAAGAAAAAAAAAAATCATTTAAACAAGCCTCATCAGAATGTTCCATCCTTGGAAGGCTTAAACCTCCCCTGTTCCCCCGCCCTTTATTAAGCTGGTATATAAACATTGACCTCTTGCTGTTTGGGGAGCTACTCTCTCTGGAGAAGTACTCCTGCAGGCATCATAAGCAAGAGTTTACCCTGTTACTCTGCTGTGAATTAATTTGCTGGCACTGATAACTAGGTCCTAAATTGGTAGAGGACAAGTTTTCCTCCCATCAATAACTTACCAACCTCTTGATAGCTCGACTTGGTTGAAAACAGGCATCTTAAACTTACTGCGTCCCAAACTAAACTCTGATTTCCAAACCTCCACCCCCATATCCCTATCCCGCTCCTACTGCCTGTACCTGCAAGACACACCCAGGATCTAACTACAGCCTGCCAGCTCCACTGTCACCACTTAGCTTCCCAGTCACAGTCATTTCTTGCCTGGGTTATTACGATAGAGCCCTAACTGCTCTCTGATTTGGCCCTTGCTCCACTTCAGTCTACTCTCAACACAGCAGCCAGAGTGATCTCGTTTAAATCATCCAATCACCTTTCTGCTCCAAATCGTCTCACTGAAGTAAAAAGTCAAGTCCTAACAACGGCCCGCAAGGCGCGAGAAGATCTGCCTGTGCCCCCTCCCCTCCCACCGGTCTCCCACTCCCCCTAGAGCACCAGGCAGGCTCCCACCTCAGGCCCAGACACTTGCCATCCCCTCCTGTTTGAACATCTTTCTTAGGAGGTGCTCCTTCACCTCCAAGTTTTCCTTCGCATGTCACCTTCTCACTGTGGCCTCCATAAGCTATTTTAAAATTGCAGCATTTACACTCAATGCTTCCCTCCTTCCATGCTATGTGTTTCCCCGTTTTATTTACTATCACTCATCTGCTGTATAATTTGTTTATTGTTTGTTTCTCTCCACTAGATTATCAGCTCCACCAAGGCAGGGACTTTTCTTTTGTTCTCTTTGTATTCCTAGACCCTAAAACAGTGCTTTCACATAGTAAGCCCTCCGTAATACTTGTTGAATGCTGAGTGAATAAAAGAATGTGTGAGAAGTAAATCCCATTCAGGGGGTTGAAAGGGGAGTTCTGTGATGCTAACAGCCTTAATTTTGCCCTTGACCTTCTCCTGTGCCCCCTGGAAAACCCTGATGATACACTGTGTGCAGGCAGTGGTAGGCCCTGGGAGAACAGCCGTGACTAAGGTAGAGCTATGTCCTGACTTCAGAGTTTAACTCTCCACTTTTGGTTTTATCCCGTAACTGTTAATAGTAAATCTGTCTTTAACAGAGGACAGGATGACCTACTAGTAGTAGCATAACTACTGCTGGTGATTCTTACCCTTCACATCTACCTTTGTGTTCAGCCTGGCTTTCTACTTCATCTGGGTCCCTTCAGTAATTTGGGGTTCACACACACACACACACACACACACACACACACACATTTTCTTGCTTTCCCTGCTTGGAAATCTTCAGATAATTTTTCTTAGTATCTAAAATGAAATAATTCTTCTCCCTCCCAACTTTCCTGTATTTGTGAATATACAAAATTGAGTTGCAAGATAATATACATATTTGGCAGTTTTCAATTTAGCCTTTTTTCTTGCCATCACTGTGACCTAAAACATCTTGCTTAACTGGATAATGTTACCCCCAAATTAAGACAATGTTGTGATCCACTGGCACCCCTACTTCCTGCTCCAAGTCAGCCTTCATATTATACTTAACATAAATGTGTATTGTAAATATAAATATTACAATATTGGCTTTCTAATCCGCTCTTTCACAACTGGTACTCTCAGCTCTAGTTAGATTCCACATAATCACTCGGAGTACCTGTTCATTCCCATCTCAAGTGCCCTCACTGCCCCATCAATCTAACTCTTACGCTTTCTTTAGGGTCCAGCTAAAATTTCCTTTTCTGAGTTTTTGGGGGAACATCTTGATCCAATGTCATTCCTTGGTTCTAAATGCCTTACAATTTATATGGCATTTCACACTATGCTGGATGTGTTTATATATTGCCTGGATTTGCTGATAATCTCTAATGTAATTTCCTTTAAAAAATGCCCACATTGTTTTAATATTTAATATAAAGGACAGGCAAAATCGGTAATTTGATAAGTGACTTAGGGATAAAGTTAACTCTTGAGATTTAAATGGCTGGTTTAAAAAGTAATTGTAAATTAATGGTCTAGAGGGAAGCCTTTTACCATGGACTCCGAATGTATTGGTGACTGTTGGTATATGACAGATGGAATTGTTACATTAGTTTATAGTTACATCTCAGATGCATAACCTACTTACTTTTGCACTATTCTTATCATTTATTCATAACTCTGCTTTTATTTGGGCACATGATTGTACTTTCTCTGTATCTTTTGGTTTCCCTCCACCTAAACTTTTAACATTGAGTTGGTCCAGAATATATGTGAGGAATGGGACGGTGATTTAGGAATGTTGGTAGAACTAAGGGTTAAATCACCACATGAGGAACTAGTCATTAAAAATCTTAATCATTTAAAAATGTAACTAAAAATATTAAAAACATGATTCCGTTAGGCTTTTAACTCCAGCTCATAGTTGACCATCCTCCCCGCACCGCATCTGAACTCAGTATGGAATCCCAGTTTATATGGGTGAGTGGTTACTTTGCCCTATAGCTGCATCCTATTAAAAAAAAAAATTCGTAATAATCTTAACTTCATTGCCAGAAAAATCAAAAGTGGAGACTGTATCTGAAGTAGAATATTCCTAATTCCTCTGGGTTGAAACAGGCTTACCCCAAGATCATTTTTTTTTAATACTTGAAAAATGTTGCAATCATCCTAATACTTTCCAGAGGCGTTAGCACGAGGCAAGTGAACGGCACTCATCCTTGATAAATGATTTTTAACGTTGACACGTGCTTGGCACTACAAGCACTGGAAGGGTCTGAACAAGGCGCTCTAAATGAGGAATCCGAAATAATTGTGACGCTGCTCTGTGCCAGGTTTCTAAGGCAAGGGCACTGTTGGCTCGACCAACCAAAGTCCAGCGGGCCGGGAATCCGAGGCGGGCCAAGCGGCCGAGCGGCGGCAGCAGACAAAAGTAGCGGGCAGGGCGCTCCGCTCGGCTCGGGGGGCGGCACGCTGGCCACAGTGGAGCGCGGGAGGCTCGCGGCTCCTCGCCCGAGACCAGCCGGGCTGGAGCCGGGGCCCCAGAGCGCATCTGGCCGGCAAACGGGGCACCGCAGGCCCTCCTGTCCGGGCGCCTCCCGCGCGCTCGCCGGCCGGCCCGGGCCTCGGCTCCGCGCGCGGGGAAAAGAGTGCAGCGGTTGAAACCGTTACCACCCCCGAGTTTTGAACTGGTTCAAACTTGGCTTTCGGCCCCGCCCCGCCCCTCCGGCCCGGGAACTCTGAGGCGGCGGTTCCCGCCAAGAGCCGCGAGCGCGCCGTCCCGCCCTCCGGCCGGTTCCCGCCACCCCGCCCTGTCCGCCTCCCGCCCGCGGCCCGGGATTCGGGCTCCAGAGGCCCTTCGTCCCCGCGCGCCGGCCCACCGCCTTCCTGAAAGGCGCCGTGCGTTCCGCGAAAGAACAAAGAGCCGGCGCAGCGTTTCCACCGGCGGCGGCGTCCCTCAGCGCCCGCCCGCCCGCGCGCACGCGCCGCCAGCCCGGCCCGGCCGAGTCCCGCGGGCGCCTCGGCGTGGGGCTGGCTCTGCGCCTCAGAGCCCGGCGGGCCCTGTGATTGGATGGGAGCCCGCCTCGCGTCCCGCCAATCGGGGCGGCGCTTGGTTGGACAGGGGGGGCCAAATAAAAGCGATGGCGATTGGGCTGCCGGGTTTGGCGCTCGGTCCGGGAGCGTCCGACACCCACTGGGACGCAGA